ATTGCCAAATCCTCAGTGTGGTGATTTTAATCCACACACAATCATGAACTAACACCAGTTGATTTTATTAAAAAAATTTAAATTACGAATATGTAAAAACGCGATGCGAAAAACTAAACGCCAGCGTACAGCTGGAATACGAGAAATATTTGAAGAGAGAGTGTAGAAATGATCCATATCTTGCAAAACATGTTTCGTTTCCACAAAAATAAAGTGAACACTATTAAATTGAAGAAACAGTCCATGTCCAAAAACCCCAGAGGAACACTGAAAGAATTCTATGTTTTAAATTAGCATATTTTGAACGAATTCGGAATGTCTAAGGTGGAAAAGAAACCGCCCTTTCTATAAAGAAACAATTTTAGAAAAGAATTTTCTTACAGCTAAGGAGAACGACGACACTATTTATTAGATGGCACATTCAACGAGCCAATGCACAGTGGCCAATTTTTCGAAAAAGCTGGCCAAAAGTCGAAGCGTGGTACAATTGTAATCAAACCTTGTGTATTCGTCTTTATTTTGGTTGCTGGTTTTAAATTTCACCACATAATTTCGAAATTCAAAATGGCGGATCCATAATGGCTGCTGTGTACGCTTAAAATAATCAAATTTTTAGCAAAACTAAGGTAGTTAAGGATAAAATGTCATGTTTTCTGCTATTTTGTTATATAATGCGATGTAGCGGTTAGCAATATACGCTATCATTCCGCAGGGTCTGGGCTCAAGCCCAGTTTCCGACCAACATCAAAAAATAAGAAACAAACAAGTTTTTTGTAATAAAGTCGCCCTTTGGCAGGCAATGGCAAGCACCCAGCCACAAAGAACAGCTTCTCACGAAAATAAAATCCCCGTTCGGATTCGGCGTAAAACTGTTGGTCCCTCCCCTTTGTGCGCCAACATCAAGGCGCACGCCACAAATCGGAAGAGAAGCTCGGACAAATACTAAGGAGGTCTTAATGTTTGTTTCTAAAAAGCTTGATTTTTAAATTTACATGGGAACTGCGGGATTTTGAATGAATCAATAAACAAGACATACATATTTGTTGGTACAGGAATATAACAACGACGAAAACTCTAATTTACGAAAAGTTTAGAGCGAATTGCTAGCAACAGTCACTTCGATCTCCTGTAACACTAAATGCCTTAAGAGAATCGACTTGTTGTCTCATAACCAATGCACCAATTTTTTTTTATCTTTTGGTCAGGATTTTCCAAAAATTGGCCACTGTGCAATGAACCAAAATGCGGGTATAAACAATTATTGATTATTTAATATCGGAACCGAGATCATATAATTTAAATGATTGGTTTTCACACACTTTTGAAACACAAATTATATGCTTTTTTACTGCAGACAAGTTGTTGCCAAAACGCAGCAGAAATCTTCCAATCAGGGCTGCCAACTATCCTTAGTTATGAGGTGCCATATTGAGGATAAAAAAGTGCCAAAATGTGCAAATAGAAAAATAAAAGTGCCAAAAAGGTGCCATTCCTTTTAATCATTCACATTAAGCAATAAAATGAAGCCACATTTCCAAAACAAAAGTGCAATGACAAAATAAGATAAACCTGTTGAATAGCCTTTATAAATTAGAAAATTTTAGTTGGGAAAAAGAAGTGCACGCGAAGGATTTCACAAAAATGTATTGAAATGTTATTTTTTTTACAAAAGTGCTTTTACTTTGTGCCGAATTGAAAAATTAAATGCCATTTGAAATAAAATAGGGACAAATGGCACGGTTTGGGCCAAGTTGGCATCCCTGCTTCCAATAACTTACAAATATAAAAATGCGAAATATTGCCGCGGCGTAGCGTGACATGGCAAGCGGATGTTGAAAGAGCAATAATGTCAATGGATTTTATTTCGCGTTTAAAAATGTAATAATATCAATTGACTTTATTTCGCACCCTGGTTGGTCCGTTGATCTTATTACCTGTCACCGTTCGAGAAACAATGAACTCACATAACAATAAGTTTCGACCACTCATTGCTCCCACTGCTTAACGATCGTCACAACTGGTACAGTTGAGCTTCGTTTGTTTATGGGATGAATTAACAAGTTTACCCGTTAGTGATAGACAAGACATGAATTCTGTGGTTCATTCATAACATGCGTTGATACTTTCAACCCTTAGGTATAAACATACTGGGAAACCTTACTTTATGAGCTTAACAAAACATATTTACAAAATTATATGCGTTTAGTAGTTTGGAAGTTAAACTGAATTAAGTGGAGAAACCTTAAAAATATCACTTTTAACCCTCTGGTTCGCGCCACTGTGCGCCGTTTATTACTTCATCATTAACTAACATTATAGTGAATTTAAATCATTTATTGTACCTTTCTTATTTATATACGTATATCTATTTGCAGGGAACATTTCATATCTGAGCACACTATAATGGCAGTATTTACTTCTCAGGGGCAAGTTGGTGGCCCATGTCTTTACATGCCTGCTACGCGGCGCCAAAACCATCAATGTCGAAAGGAATTTGGCCTTCCAAATGCAATATTCGAAGCTCGACGACTAGCTACCACGCATTGTGAAAGTCAATTTCGATACGACCGTTGGAATTGTTCCATTGAAACACGCGGAAAACGAAACATTTTTAAGAAGCTTTACAAAGAAACAGCATTTGTACATGCTCTTACCGCTGCTGCTTTGACACATACTATCGCACGATCTTGTGCAGAAGGTCGCATGACTAAATGTATTTGTGGTCCGCGAAAACAGAATAGAATTGGTCAAGATTTCCAGTGGGGTGGTTGTAACGATAATTTGAAGCACGGCAAGAGAGTAACAAGAAGCTTTCTAAGTTTACGCGACACCGACGAGGACGAAGTTTCTGAAATTTTGCGACACGACTCAGAGGCAAGTCCACAATATCGATTTAGATGCATTACTTTTTTTACGCATATCACATTCGCACTTTATTTAACCCAGGCGCAAGTAATTTTAACAAAAACGCAAATGAAATATAACTAAACGTAAATCTAGTTGAACTAAACGCATTTCAATTAACCCAAACGGAAATTAAATTAAACTAGAGTCAAATCAGTTTTCCCAAAAAGCAAATTAAATTAAACCAAACGCATTTATCCTCGATATTTGGAAATCTGGTAGAATTTACATGCAACTCTTATACTTTATGTTAATTTTTTAGAGAAATTATTTAAAAGTTCCAATAATGCGACAGTCAATTTATACACAAAAAATCAAAATATTCGCGAAACAAGGGGCCAAATACTATAAAACAGCGTTCATAGTTTTCCTCTCAGACGTCAGGATTTTTTAAAAGGACTTTGAAAATTCAAGGATTTGATTAACCAAAAAAAGGTTTTTTAAAAATTCAGCAGAATGTAGAAAAATACGGGTACCAAGGAAATTATAAAATTCTCTAAAATAAAAATACAAAACACTCTTCTTCTTGCTTTCGTTATTTTTCACAGGGCTGCAAACCACTCCAAAACGGTGCGGTTCGGTTAAGTGGTTCGAACTGCTTAGTAAAAGCTTGTACCCGTTCAGGATCCGGTTCATCATTATTACTGAACCGCGGTTCGGTTCGGTACAAAAGGTTCAATTTTCTTAAAGCTAAAGGATACAAACAAATATTACAAAAATATGACAAATCTATGAATATAAAAATAAAAGGTTTTATTATTGAGATCAAATTCAAATATCCACAAATAGGGACCAGACTTTTTAACAATTTTGCTTAATGTTGAAATCCTAATTATTAATTATAAATAAATTAATTAAATAAAGTGCAAGTGTAAGGAAGCTAGGCCTTACCATTGATTTTTGGGAAATTTTTTTGTTGAAGGTGTCGCACATTTTTTCCGTATAAAAAAAAATTATCAAACATTATTTTGTATAGAGAAAATGAGCGTACCTTCAAAAAAAAAAAATGCTAAAAATCAATGGTAAGTCCTAGCCACCTCAAACTTGCACTTTGTTATACTAGAATTGAATGGGCTAAAAAACTGCATACTCAACTTTTTTCTAGGGAGCGTAAATAAAAAGTGCAATATTTGAATGAGATTTTGCCGAATTTTCTTTAATTTTGCACAAGGTTTGGAACTCTGATTTTTTGGGTTTTTTGTTGTAGAATTAACCATATTTTTATAAAAAAATAAAATATTGAAAAAATATTTGCCCGTATTGTAATTCACTGTACCTAAACTGACTGTATGTAAGAATACAAAGACAAATTGTTTATCAGAAGCAAGGTCTCTTACACATTGAAAAAAATAAGAAAAACTCTCAAAAAATCGCTACAGCGAAAAAAGTGTTTGAAAAACCGCATATATTCAAATCCGCATAAAAAAAGAACCTCATAAAAAGAGACCTAAGTGTATTACCTAACTTACAAACTGCATTTTTGGAGTGGTTTTCGGTTCGGTTTTGGCATTTCAAAATAAAAATGGTTCGGTTCGTGGCTCGGTTCGAAGTCCGAAAAAAAGCTATGGATCGGTTCAAAAACCGGTTCGGTTCAAAACCGGTTTGAAGCCCAGATTTTTCAGTTCCGGGGGCGGCAGCGGAAAAATTACAAAAAGTAGTTTTTCCGAAGTATTTTTGGACCATCCTAATATAATAAATCTCATTTTTAAATCTCACTACATGAGAAATATTATTTCACCTCAAAAAATTAGTTTCGATGACCGGCTGAAAAATCAAATATACACATCACACAGTCTTTTCCCTTTAGAAGGATATGAACAGTAACTGGGAGAAACCGTTTTTCTTGGAACTGTTATTCGAGATCTGTGTTGAGAAATTTCTAATCAAAAGGTATTTCCACTTTCGGTATTTTTTGGGGTTTCTGTTTCTGCTTAATCTGAATCTCAGATCCGTTTGACACGTACACCCTCGAAATTTCGGGTAAATAGTGAAAACTGCGAATTGTTTGCAATTTTTTTGGGTTTTCGCAATTTACTCGAAATTTTGGGGATATACGAGTCAAACGGACATCAGATTCGAATTCACCGAGTCGAAATACATGTCGGTGGGTGAGTGTAATTAAATGCAAACACCACTTTTTTTGTGCCGGTGCACCGGCTGAGTTTCGAGTGTACCGACACATAAAAAATAGTGGTCTGTGCATTAACCAGACCCACCACCCGCAATTAATTTCGACCCGAATATGAGGTCCGTTTGAAAAAATGGCAAAAAATTCGCGATGTTCTCAGTTTACTCGAAATTTTGAGGGTGTCGGTGTTACTTTCTCCCAGAGACCACAATTGAAAAACTACCTTTTACACTTCAAATAAAAGTTTACCTAAGATATTTCTGCTCAAACATTGAAATCCGCCACAAATCATGATACCTATTTTAGGCTTTAATGCTTTAAAAATTTTCAAGTACAATACTTGTACCCAGTACATTTAGCCACTCGTTTGACGTAATTTTGGATAAATATATTAATTTGAGTAATGGTCTGCTGGATTGTGTGATTTCTACGCTAATTGGTGAAATGTTACCAATATGTGTATATTTAAAGAAAGTACTCAACTCTCAAAATTACCCGATCCTTAAAAATATCGTGGCCAAAGAACTCAATCCTGAAAAGTACTCGATACTTCCCAACACTAATGATTTCTTATGCAAATTTTTCTTCTGAATCGAAATAGGTACGAGGTCAGAAATAAAAAAGGTATAACAGATTTCGAGATATAGTCAAATTCCGCTTAATTGCAACTTTTTATATACCTAGTTGGCCAATTTCAATTATGCCAGTCATTCCCAAAGTTGTCCAGGTGCACCCCCTGTGGTCCACTGGCAACTCGACGGAGTCTACGTGGGCGTAAAAAACTTCACAACTTGTAAGTGGGGGTCCACGAAAATGTATGTATCTAGTTTCTATGGTAACACGTTGGCTTGGCTTTACCTATCGGTGTAGGTAGATAATACAATACTCAAAAAAATCAAGGAGGTATTGAGACTTAAAAAAAGTATTTTGAAATATTTGGGAGCTACGGTTCTCATGCAATCCTAACAGATAGCGCGAAAAAATAATTTTGCAAATCTTTTTGCATACAAGCTTGAGCTCAAACAACATCAAAAAGTTATAAACAATAAAGTTTTTTTTTCTAATAGCGGTAGCTCCTTTGCAGGCAATGGCGAACCTCCGAGTGTATTTCTGCCATGAAAAACAGCTTCTCATAAAAATAAAAGCGTAAAACAGTAGGTCCCTTCCCTTTGTGTTGCAGCATCAAGGCGCACGCCACAAAGTCGGGGGAGAAGCTCGGCCAAACACTAACATATTGTGTAAGAGCCTATCCATTATCATTATTATTAACTTCTTATGGCGTTAAATGTTCCCCGATTTTTAGTGCTTTTTCGAAAAGCCAGATGCAGGTACTGTCAAATTATCGGAAATAGAAAATCAATAATAAAAAAATTGCTTACACAGGGCAACAAAAAGGGAAGCAAACGTTGGTGCGGCACATGTTAAAGTTGGTTTTGGTAGATTTTATTGTGTTGATTACGAATTCATAGATAAAAGTTTGCTTCAGCTCCAGATTTTGAGAAAAACTTGGTCAAAATGTCAAAAAATCGTGCTGTTGCAGCTTAAATTAAAGGCTGAGCTCGAATCGTAACATGCGTTCACGGATCGAAAACTATACGAAAGAAAATTACGTGATATGTCAGTCATATATGCTGAATGGGATAAAGAGTGCGTTCACATATGTCATAATCCGGAAAATGTATTTTTACGTGCCGAGTAATACGATATCGTATGTGAAGATTCGAGTCCAGATCTTTCAACTGCAATCCCTAAGAATACCATCCCTGCAACTTAGTCTGATCCTTGGCTACAGACTAATGTGGTAATTCATATCTGCGGTTACAAAAATTACTATCAGTGACTATTAAGCAGATAATTGTGAGGAAATGAGATTTTCAATAATAAGGGCCGCTTTCTCATCTAACCTTTAAATAACCGGCCCCTGTATAGTCTCTAACTATATACGAACTTTCGTTTTCTGATCAGCGCATTAATTAAGTCCACCAAATGTGTTGCCCTGTGTTATCAAAGCAAGATTTTTTTAAAACCATTAATACTTCACCTGTAATAATCTGAAATGTAGGCAGAAAAAATGCCAGTAATTCATTCAATACTGATTTTTGCTAGCTGATTCCGTATTCCGTGGTAGGACGGAGACTGCGTCCCCGAGTACTGGCGTTCTGCCGGTGGACGAATGTCTAGCCACAATCCGCTTCAAAGCGAGATTCTTCGGCGATTCTAATGCCAAGGTAGGCAAGGAAGGGATCTTTGGCGCCACTGTCGGAAAATTCAGCCTCCACGACGAAACGACGGATAACGGACTGAGGCTGATCGACTTCGCCTGGGCCCGAAACATGGTCATATGTAGTACTAGGTTCCAACATAAAAAGATCCACCAAGCTACATGGCGAGAAGCCAAATCGATCATGTTGTGATAGACGGAAGGCATTCTTCAAGCGTTTTAGACGTACGTACAGTCCGAGGGCCAAACATCGACTCGGACCACTATCTTGTCGTAGCCAAGATACGCACCGCAAGGGAAGCTTAACGTCGAAAAGCAGCAATCACAACAGACGTCCAATTTATTCGCCACTCGATCACATACCTGTTCTCTGAGACCACTCTTCAACAATCCGACATACGCGAGCAGTGGAACCACATTTCCCGTTCATTAAGTACCGCCGCCGAAGAAGAAGTTGGATTTCAGCGAGCCCGAATGAAAAACTGGTACGATGAGTGCCAAGAAGCCGCAGAGAAAAAGGACGCCGCCTATAGGGCCACGCTGCGATTGGGCGCAACGCGAGCCATGTGGGACCATTATAGGGAACATAAAATGGAAGCGAGACGTATTTGCCGCAATAAAAAGAGAGAGGCTGAAATACGTGATCGCGAAGAGCTTGAGATGCTGGCCGACAGGAAGATTAGGCAACCTACGGAAGGTTTCAAGACAGGGGCGAACTCCTGTAAGAACAACGACCTAGTGACCGATGTCCGAACATACTTAAATTGTGGA